GTGCTTTTCCTGGTCTCCCATGGGTGCAGGGCCCAAGCACCTCGGTTATCCTCCACTGCACTCCCTGGCCATAGCAGAGAGCTGGCCTGGAAGAGGGGCAACCGGGACAGAATCCGGCGCCCCAACCGGGACTAGAACCCGGTGTGCCGGCGCCGCAAGGTGGAGGATTAGCCTATTGAGCCACGGCGCCGGCCCGATTTCTTATTTTTAAGGCACCTAAATTGTGCATATTTTTGTCAATGCAATCCATCACATAGTGATACAAAGGAAATAATGTTTCAATATATAGCAGAAAGATTAGATCTTCTGTTTCAGTTGTTTATACAAGGGACTTAAATTCCTTGAGGGGGTATTTTAGGTATCAATTTAATAGTTTATCATTAGTTTCTGAATTTAAAGATTTTATAAAAATTAATATAATTCTATTAGCATTGAGCAGTATATATGATTATATTTTATTTTATTTTGTACTTTACTTCAATGTATGCTTGATCAAGTTCCATTCAATTGTAGAAGCCAAATTTGAAGAAAAAAAGTATTATTAAAATGAAGAGAAGATTCTTTTGTGGCAAACATGAAATTCATGAAGAATAAACAAGCCTAATTTGATTGTAATACTCTTTGAAAGAGAACGTCTGTCGCTCCCCCTCTTCATGGAGGAACGACACAAAACCCTGCGCTGTTCTTTCGTCTGCTCGGCCCTCCCCGGGTTTGCTGCTGGTTCTTCCCGGGTTGGCTACTATCCCTTCCACCTCCGTGGAAGGGCAGTTCCCCCTGGCCACATTCCCCACTTCCGCAGGGGAGCGGCACACCGCCGGCCGGTTCTCTCGGGGGCTGCACGGGTTCCCTTAGATGTTCCCCATAGATGTTCCCCATAGATGTTCCCGGTGCATGCCGTCTCTCTCCTCCTTTATAGTCCTCCTCCGCCAATCCCAACTCGGCTGCCCACACGCCGAGTACGCTGCTCTCCTCCAATCAGGAGCAAGTCCTACAGTTTATTAGTTGAACTGGAGGCAGCTGTGCGGAAGCTGTTTACTTCTCTCCCAGCGCCATATTGTGGGAGAGCAGATGCATAGAATAAGTCTTAATTCCAGTAACTCAGTCTAGTCCGGTTTGCTCCCCACAAACGTCAAAGGCTTATTGAGACACAAATGCCTATTCCATTGTACTGACTAGATACTAGACACAAGTTAGTGGTTTATAAGTCTTACTTGAATAAGAAGTAAGGATATTTAATTTTAGAATTTGATTTCTTTTCTAGGTCAGATGTATATATATAATTATTTAAATTTTTTCATTTATTCACTTTCATTTATTTGAAAGAGTAATAAAAATAGAGAGACAAAGACAGAGACAGAGAGAAATCATTTGTCTGCTTGTTCACTCTCCAAATACCTCCTTCAACACTGACTAGTTCTGGAAGAAGCCAGGAACCCCGAACTCCATCTGGACCTCCCCTGTAGGTTTAGGGGCTCAAGCATTTGAGCCATCACGACCAAGCATAATCCAGGGTGCACGTTAGCAGGATGTTGGAAATGGATGTGGAGTTAGGACTAGAACCCAGTATCCAGTGCAGGATGCAAGCATCCCAAGCAGTATCTTAGGCACTGCAGCAAATATGCACCCCACAGAGATATTAAAAACCAAAAATGGTGGCAGGTGCCGTGGCTCAATAGGCTAATCCTCCACCTGCGGCGCCTGCACATCGGGTTCTAGTCCCGGTCGGGGCGCCGGATTCTGTCCCAGTTGCCCCTCTTCCAGGCCAGCTCTCTGCTGTGGCCAGGGAGTGCAGTGGAGGATGGCCCAAGTGCTTGGGTCCTGCACCCCATGGGAGACCAGGAGAAGCACCTGGCTCCTGCCTTCGGATCAGCGCGGTGCACCGGCCGCAGCACGCCGGCCGCGGCGGCAATGGAGGGTGAACCAACGGCAAAAGGAAGACCTTTCTCTCTGTCTCTCTCTTTCACTGTCCACTCTGCCTGTCAAAAAAAAAAAAAAAAATGTGGAGAGCTGCTAAGATAGTTTGGGGATATTTAGGAGTTTTGACTTGTTTAAGAAAACACAAAAATACAGCTCAGAACTTTCCAACTTTTCTTCAACTGCTCTGAAACCCAGAGTTGTATAATGCATTCTGTGAATGATCTATTGAGATTGTCTTATATTAAGCCCTATTTTGGGATATGTAACATTTCAGTTTTGGTTACAAGCAATCTGGCAGACTCTGATTATTTTAGAGAAAATTGTATTATTCTAGAAGATCCTAAAAATCTGGCTTAGAAGCAATCTATAAAATAAGAATAATCAAAATAACAATCCATCATAAGCAAGAAATTCTGATAAAGAATTCATGATAAAGTTGAACTGAACTTATATTAACCACTTCTAGGTAGGTTGGTACACAATAAATAAAAGTTTTAGAAGATTTGTTCATTTATGAATTTGGAAAGCAGAATGATGGAGTAGGGAAGTAGTTGGGGGAGAGAGGAGAGAGATGGGGAGAGTGGGGGGGGGGGCCTTCCCATTCACTTCTCACACTCTAATGACCACAAGTTAGCACTAGGCCAGGACAGACCCAGGAGATCAGAACTTCAATCAGGTCTCCCACTTGTGTGACAAGGACACAAACACTTGGGATAGCATCCACTGCCTATCTGGGTGCAGTAGCCAGAAGCTGGACTGGAAATGGGGCACTTGGGACTCAGATTCCCAAGGGGTGGGTGGCTTAACCTGCTACAGCACAACACCCATCCCATTCACATTTTAAATTAAATTCTGATTACTGCTCCAAATAAAGCC